CAGGATGCTTATTTTTGTCAAAGTTCAGGCCATACGAAAATATTAACCCTATTTATAATATACGTAAATTTCCAACAGTTATGTTCGTTCATTTGTTATTTGTGTTTATCAATCTGTTTCCTTTTTGTTTTTGGATGGGGTGAATTCCCTTCATTGATGCTTTGGAATGTGAAGGTGTTTGCTCTTATAGTGCACGTGAACGATTTTTCTTGGACATTTTTTGTATTTCATAGTTTCAAGTTTTATTGTCAATTGTGGAGATGTACTCTTGACAGGTTCTGTTAAAGTTATGTTTCACGTAGATTGTACATCCTAATTAACTTAGTTATTTATATGTAAAATTTAACTTTACCCTCCATTTTTTTCATTGAAATTTAATGTGAACTTATTCAGAATGTGTCTTCAAGTTAACTACAACCTTATGGTTGATTAAATTATAAGTTTTCTCAATGTTTATGCAAGTCCCGACGCGGAGCGTGGGCATGAAAACTAGTAATGATATATCACTCCTACAGTGCATAGGTTGAGAGGATATCCCATTTAAGGTTTCACATTTCAATGTTATGGCCAATTGGAGTCCTCCCAGAAGCAAGACCATTTCACAATTGGCCAATTATTACTATAGGTGTCAATCGGCGGGTTCGGGTGAGTTCAGGGCAGGTTCAATCGGGTTGCGGGTTAGTTGGATTTCGGGTTCGTCGGGTTGCGATTTCATCGGTTCGGGTTCAATCGTGTTTGGGGTTTAATTGGGTTGCGGGTTAGTCAGTTTGTGGGTTCAACGGGTCCGGGTTCAATCGGGTTGCGAGCAAATCGAGTTGCGGGTTCATCGAGTTTCGGGTCGGGTGGGTTGTTTGGGACAACGCATCGAGTTACTTACTCCTTCCTCGCTACCAACTTACACATTTTATTACACTAATTTAAAATATTTTTCACAATTTTTAACCCACTTATCTCTACATATATGGCAAAGGCTAGCGTACGCCCGGGCGTACCCTAACCTACCGTACGCCCGTTGAGTTTTGCTATTTAGACAATGAATTAACCGGAGTTTGGGGCATGATACTATACCATAACCCCTAATGGGTGAACCCCAGTCCACAATTCGCTAACCCAAAGCATAATATTCATTTAATCTTGAAATGAAAATAAACGGTTCTGATTCGTCTAAATTATTGTTGATTTTTATTTTAAGATTAAACGAATCTCATGATTTGGGTTAGAAAACTTGGGACTGGGGTTTATCCATTTGTGCTTAGGGTATAGTATCATGCCAAAAACTCCGGTTAATTCATGATCTAAATAGTAAAACTCAAATGGGCGTACGGTAGTCTAACGTACGCCCGGGCGTACGCTAGCCTGAACAATATATATATATATGGGGAGTTCTATGGTACCCCGGGCGATTCCAGCTCCGCCTCCAAAGCTGTTACTGGCTCCTCCCCTTCGGCCAGGTATGTTTTCTTCGCATCACCCTTTGTTATTTTAACTGAGCTGCTGGGCCGATTCATCATCTTGGCTTTCGCAGGCTTTGTTGAGGCCTTGGGCTTCTTTTTAGTGGACGCAGGCCCATCTGTCATCGTGGCATCATTCCCCGGCCCATTGTCCCTTTGGCCACGGGCCTGTTGCCGAGCAGCCACCTTTGGTAACCTAGAGCGGCCACCATCCAGCTTCCCAGGCAGTCGCTGGGCGCCCTCCGACCAAATCTGAGCAACATCCTGGACGAAAAACTCGTCCTCAGACTTCTCGGCGAGGATAAGTCGCCGCCGGCGAGTGGCCTCCCTGACCTCAGCCTGGGAAATAGGATCGGTAGTCGGCTCCTCGACTCGGTTGTGGGCAGTCGCTGCGCGAGCTGGCTTTGCTACCGAGGGGGCAGCCCCCTTCGCAGGTCGCAGAGATTTAATGGTAGCCCGCCTCGGCAGCAGCGGAGTTGGGCTAGAGTGACCATCAATCTCCATCGGGCTACCCATGGCCATAGCTCTCCCTCTGCCGCGACGCCCTTGCTTCCCAATGGAAATTTTGGGCGCTTTTGGGATCAGGAATCGACGTGGACTCCTTTCTTGAATGGTATTTTGGTTTTCAGTGATACTGAATGGGTTATCCGAGGATCCCATCCACTTCGGACTGTCTTCAACAATTGGGAGTTTTGTCGCATTAGGCTCTGAATGCATCATAATACCCCTCCGTCTCTCCGCCCTCTCCTCCACACCGGTTTTATGGCGCACAGTGGTGTTTACCCAAACCGAATTAGTCTGGCCATGAAGGCGTTGATCATTCTCCATATCTTCAAAAATCTTTCTCCCCATTTTTTTGGTCATCATGTGCGGGCCAAATCGTTCCTTCCGTGTAGGAGGATCGAAGCGACAAGCTTGCCGGAAATGCCCCACTCGGCCACAATTGTAGCAGAAAATAGGGAGATGCTCATATTTAAAACGGATCCAGAATGACCCCGTCTCATCATTAGTGGCCATGACTTGGGAGCGAAGTGGTTTGGAGAAGTCAATCAGCACCTTGACCTTAACGAAATTTCTGGCCGTGTCAGTGCAAACAAAAACTCCAGATTCAAGGACCCGGCCAAGGGTTGAACTCGCTACTTTTCTTCCAAATTGCTGGGTGCAGCAATCTTCTTGAACATCCCACAATTGGACTCGAAACGGAGCAATCGCCATGTCATCGAAAGTGCGGGCAGAGATATTTGGTACCCAAGCACGGAGATGAAGGGTTCTATCCTTAATCACCCACGGAGTGCGTTGGAGTGCCCAGTTCTTCGCAGCTTCATTTGGGAGGGTGAATTCGTACAGCTCGTGCGCTACCTCCCGCACTTTGATTCGGCCTTGGCCTTGCCACGGATTATTTACTGCCTCTCTCAGCTCTGCCACTGTCAGCCGGTCCTCCGAAAAGACACGGCCTAGCAGCATCTTGGATCTGCGAACGCGCTCAGTTTGAACTTCAGCCATAGAGAACTCCACCACCTGATCACTTGTGATCCGCGCCACTGTACTCAACTGAAACAAAGAGTAAGCACTAATGTCACAAGCAGTCCCCATGCCGAGAGGCGTAATTATGGCAAGCCAGGGATAATTAGAGAAAAAGAAATGGAAGTTCAAGATGGCGCAGCCATCTCTCCATAATCCAAACTCAATTTCCGTCACTAATAATTTCCACTTACTCGATAAGAACTCCTGCCTGGAAGTGCAAGCCCAACTGCTGGTCTTTCTAACTTCCTCTTCACAGAAACTATGGTAAGCAGAAGGATTTAAGGGCCGCGATATATAGGCCACGCTCGTAGCAGCCTTCTGCTCCATCGAGGAGTCTCTTTGGGGTGGGAAACTTGTTTTTTTTTAATTAAATAACTGCCCGGGAGATATTTCTACCCGTTTGCAGATACGCCGTACCCGTGAATCTCTAGCTCCATTATCCCTTGCCGATGAAATCGCAGTATCGTTAGGGATTAGTTGGACAGCTGGCGCTCTCCTCGTCGAATTATGCCGGTGAAGGAGCGGCCGGCAAAACGGTAGAGACTTTAGGTTTCCCGACGGGCAGGCTTGAAGATACGGCATCTGAAGCTGAGTCGCTCCACTCATCTTCAACGAACTCGCCCCACACTCGGGTCTGAGTTCCGAACTCGCCCCATTTCGGGATCTAAGTTCACATGAGCTAAAAGTGCCCCGGGGAGCCATGAGCTTGACAGGGTCCCTCTGCCGTGCCTTCTGCCACTCGTCTTCTAAATCGTCCGACGAGGGCAAGACAAAACGCCACATCAAGCGCTTAGGCCGGCATAATCGTTTGGGCAAAGCTTCCCCTTCATCAACAGGATGTGCCTTCCATTGTTCCCGTTGTCGTTTGAGGGGATTAACCGTGCACGAACTTTTGGTTTTAATCTCATCGACGTGCAGTCTCCCCCATCGTGAGGTCGCCGGACGTTTCCCCTCTATCCTTTCTATCGAAGTCACATGAGAGTCAATCCCTCCGAATACGTGGATCCCTTGGTTGGCAAGGGTGGAAAGGAGGACCAGTGAAAAGAAAGAGAGAAAAGCCTCGCCGGCGGAACAGCAAAGTTCCAACAGAGCTAGGAAGGCCGCCGTGCAAAATTCTAGGAGAGAGGAGAGAGCTCCTCTCATTTTTTTATTTTATTTTTTTTTTTACTTAACTCAAAAGAGCAAAAGTATTAGTCAAGCTAACTCATCCCGAGATTATCAGTGATTTTTTGTTGTTGTTTGACCTGATTATCTGTGTATTAAGAGAGATGCTTTGCTAATTTAGAATAATAAAGGCACGAATATATCTTATTCTGAAGGTGAAACTGGGCCTTTTTTGAAATAAAGACCCACCCAAGGAAATAAAACCGATTGATCAACGAAAGATTAATTGTCCCGCTAAAAGACCATGGATCCAATGCGCTGAATGTAATTGAAAAAAGAAAACCCCAGCATGGTCATTTCCTGTGCATCCTGACTCCTTTTACTGTACATACAGACCCATAACTACAGTTTCAACTCGGATGGGAATACAGTGTGCGTGGGTGCAAGGAGACCCTGGTTGGTTTCGAATTTGACTTGATGATTCAGTTGTGTTTGGGCCAGAGTTTGCCTTCTGGTTGGGGTCCTTTCAGTCTCCCTCGCGCGTTTTGATCGCTCGGCAACCTGCTTTATCACCATCCATGAGGTTACGGAACCGGTCACTCTGTTTGCCCTTTAAAAAATGGGAGAGGCATGTCTTTTGATGGGACTGTGAAAAGTTGACAGTGAGACAGTCCAGAGAGAAAAAGTGGAGAGCTGGAGAGACATTGGTGCTAAAAGGGTTCACCAATGCTGACTGGGGGTGGCTTAAAAAAGAAAAGAAAATGGTTACGGATTTTCCAGTCTTTTGCTTGGTAGAATTCAACCCACGTCTCCCTTTTAATTTCTGTCCATTCGTTTTACCTAACCGGGTACAACACCCTATGTTCGTTGGCCGCTGCTTTAAACTAAAAAGCCCTGAATATATTGGAAAAGGATGAACCCGCAGGCACGCTTACCTCTTCCTCTCTTCTCTGCCATTGCAACAGCAACGTCTCTCAACTTTTATCTCTCTCCCTGTCATTTTTCTGTCTGTGTTGGTTTTTCTATCTCTCTTCGGAGGAGATTAGCAAGGTTAGAAGTGATCAAAGGAAGAGACTGATTCGGCCGACCAGAGAGGAAACAGAAAGCTCAAGATCGGCCGATTCTATTTTGGTTTCAGGTTATTGGTCCTCCTCTTTTGAGGAATTTGTTTTCCTCTATGTTCTTCATTGCGTTCAGTTTCCCCTCTTTCTCAAAAAGGTTTGTTTCATCTCTTTTTTGAGGTTTGTTCAAAGACTACAATGTCTTCGTAGAAGAAGACTTGAGCTCTGCATCAGTTTTCATACATCATTGGTTGATCTCCCTTTGGTAAGTCGATTTCATTCAATTCCAGCATTTCAAATTCCTCTTTTTTTCGTTCCAATGACTGATTCGTCCTCTCTTCCATCTTGTAATGTAAACCAGGTTTGCGGAATGTAGAGAGCGCGGATTCGGACAAGAGGCAGAGCCGTGGGTTTACGATGGTTTATATGTTTTGTTTGATAACCATTTATATTCACATGTCGCCGTCATGTTTACTTTCATCGAGGGAAAGTCGAAGTTTAGAATAAAAAGTAGCTGGTGCTGTTGAATAACTGTCTGGGATGAGTGACTGTGATTTGCTGTTGACTGATTCATCTTTATTTGGGGATTTCCTACGGTAACTTGAAGTAAGGTAACTTGAATTTTTTTACCTGCTATAGCAGGTTTCACAGGTCGTATTACGTAAAACACAATAGGCATTACGTAATGGCTACGTAACATATGATAATTTTACGTAACAGTTGTAAAAGATCATTACGGAAGCCTTACGTAATAGAATGTGTCTTTACGTAATGAGTATTAACTTCGCGTTACGTAAAATGCAAAGTCATTACGGAAGTCTTACGTAACGCTACTGAATTAACTGTTACGTAAGAAATAAATGTTGTTTCGTAACCTTTACGTAATGGAAGGTCTTTTTACGTAATGAGTATTTACCTTGCGTTACGTAAAGTGTTAAGTCATTACGGAAGCCTTACGTAACGCTTCCGATTTAACTGTTACGTAAGAAATAACTATCATTCCGTAACTTTTACGTAGTGAATGTGTATTTTACGTAACAGTTGTAAAATATCATTACGGAAGCCTTACGTAATAGAAGGTCTCTTTACGTAATGAGTATTAACGTCGTGTTACGTAAAGAGCTAAATTATTACGGAAGCCTTACGTAACGCTTCTAATTCAATAAGAATTAAAAAAGGAAAGGTTAAAATATAGAAAGACTACTAAATGTGAAAAAAGGAAAGAAAAAATTAAAAAAGGTAACTTGGACATGTAGTGACCGGCAACTCATGTTGCCAATTATTTTTTTAGTTATTTTTTTATTTTTTATTTCTTTAATCAATGGTTTAAAATAAGTGTGATCAATTTTAACGGTTTAGATCTATGCAAGTTACCTAACTTGAAATTATACCCAAGTTATTGTAGGAGATTCCCTTTATTTGTTTCATCTTTATTTCACTTTGGTAGCTGTTCGGATTCCTCTTTTTTCGGTGCTCTTCCTGCAATTTCTCTTAATAGATGGTTGTCGGTGATCGCTCGCTTCGTGCGTATCTAACAAAGGTAGGTATAATGCGAGGTCTGTATGACCGAGATAAAATCTCTTCAATACATGTTCTTTTGTCTACCGGTTTCATCATATGTATCGATGCACGTGCGTAGATTAGTATTCGCTTTGCTGCTATCTAATTCTATGACTTAATCTATGATACCTTCGTCTTTGTCCTCTCTTCTGATTGTTAGGGTAATTCTGCATTTTGCTGCTTTTTCCTTTAATCTCTATCCAACATGGCTGTTTCTAGAGGTGGCAATTAGAATCCAAATCCATGAATCCAATCTAATTCATCCACCAAATTATCCATCTAATCTAATCCATTTAAATCCAATCCATTTAATCTAAATCCAATTGGATTGATAGATTCATGGAAAATTACGATTTGGTATGTATACTTTTTATATATCACATTTTGGTACCTAAAATTTATATTTTTATACGAAAAATAGCATTGGAAAATTACATTTTGGTACCTAAAAATTTTCATTATGACATTTTAGTAGCTAAACTTTTGCAAATTTTATATTCTGGTCCAAGTCTTGTCTGTCATTTGGATTCATGGACTAATCCACCAATCCATTTGATCCAATTCATGAATCCACCACTCTATTGGATTTTCATTTGATCAATGGATCTACCAATCCAATCCACGGATCCGATCCAATTGCCACCTCCAGAGTCGTGATGGTTGGGGCTTTGAAACAGCAAACCCCCTTTGTGTTTGTTACTTAGACCATGGGGAAGTTCTGTTGCAGCTATTGAGTTTTTGTTTCCTTATATATTGCTATCTTTGTTCTATTCTCTTTCTGCTTCTTTCAACACTTTGCAGCGGCAGCATGTTGAAGCTTTTGTGATCTTCTTTAATTCCTTTAAGGTTGTGGTAGAAAATTATTTGGTTCTGCTCTTGAGGTTGCAGTTCGGTCCTCTCCAGATTCTCAGTCAAACTTTCATTTTGTAGCAGTTCCATTGTCTGCAAACCATCATCTATTCGAGACCTAAGCAGATTATTGTCTCACGTCTTATTTATAAGGGTTAATATTTTTGTATGGCCTGAATTTTGACCAAAATAAACATCCTGACCAATCTTTTTGATTTATAACATCTTGGTCCGAATTATACACCAAAATAAACAATTTGGCCAGATCCGACTTTTGACCGTTAACTTGGAAGGTCAAACACGTTGACCGTTAGTCAACGCGCCATGTCACTGCCAAGTCTGCATAAAACATTTAAAATAATTCACAATTTCCACACATTCTCTAATTTTAAATTATTATAAATTAAAAAAAATCATCTAATACCTTAGTTAAACCAAAAATAAAAAACAGAAAAAATTAAATATTTATCAGATCTTCTGACTTGGCAGTGACGTGGCGCGTTGACCGTTAGTCAACGCGTTTGACCATCCAAGTTAACGGTCAAACATCGGGTTTGGCCAAATTGTTTATTTTGGTGTATAGTTCGGACCAGGATGTTATAGATCAAAAAGATTGGTCAGGATGCTTATTTTTGTCAAAGTTCAGGCCATACGAAAATATTAACCCTATTTATAATATACGTAAATTTCCAACAGTTATGTTCGTTCATTTGTTATTTGTGTTTATCAATCTGTTTCCTTTTTGTTTTTGGATGGGGTGAATTCCCTTCATTGATGCTTTGGAATGTGAAGGTGTTTGCTCTTATAGTGCACGTGAACGATTTTTCTTGGACATTTTTTGTATTTCATAGTTTCAAGTTTTATTGTCAATTGTGGAGATGTACTCTTGACAGGTTCTGTTAAAGTTATGTTTCACGTAGATTGTACATCCTAATTAACTTAGTTATTTATATGTAAAATTTAACTTTACCCTCCATTTTTTTCATTGAAATTTAATGTGAACTTATTCAGAATGTGTCTTCAAGTTAACTACAACCTTATGGTTGATTAAATTATAAGTTTTCTCAATGTTTATGCAAGTCCCGACGCGGAGCGTGGGCATGAAAACTAGTAATGATATATCACTCCTACAGTGCATAGGTTGAGAGGATATCCCATTTAAGGTTTCACATTTCAATGTTATGGCCAATTGGAGTCCTCCCAGAAGCAAGACCATTTCACAATTGGCCAATTATTACTATAGGTGTCAATCGGCGGGTTCGGGTGAGTTCAGGGCAGGTTCAATCGGGTTGCGGGTTAGTTGGATTTCGGGTTCGTCGGGTTGCGATTTCATCGGTTCGGGTTCAATCGTGTTTGGGGTTTAATTGGGTTGCGGGTTAGTCAGTTTGTGGGTTCAACGGGTCCGGGTTCAATCGGGTTGCGAGTAAATCGAGTTGCGGGTTCATCGAGTTTCGGGTCGGGTGGGTTGTTTGGGACAACGCATCGAGTTACTTACTCCTTCCTCGCTACCAACTTACACATTTTATTACACTAATTTAAAATATTTTTCACAATTTTTAACCCACTTATCTCTACATATATGGCAAAGGCTAGCGTACGCCCGGGCGTACCCTAACCTACCGTACGCCCGTTGAGTTTTGCTATTTAGACAATGAATTAACCGGAGTTTGGGGCATGATACTATACCATAACCCCTAATGGGTGAACCCCAGTCCACAATTCGCTAACCCAAAGCATAATATTCATTTAATCTTGAAATGAAAATAAACGGTTCTGATTCGTCTAAATTATTGTTGATTTTTATTTTAAGATTAAATGAATCTCATGATTTGGGTTAGAAAACTTGGGACTGGGGTTTATCCATTTGTGCTTAGGGTATAGTATCATGCCAAAAACTCCGGTTAATTCATGATCTAAATAGTAAAACTCAAATGGGCGTACGGTAGTCTAACGTACGCCCGGGCGTACGCTAGCCTGAACAATATATATATATATGGGGAGTTCTATGGTACCCCGGGTGAAATCCGGAGTACCTCATACCTTGATTAACAAAATGCTATCCAGAACTTGAATTGACTGATCTTTCGGACATGATACTCCGAATATGAAATCCGGGGTACCGCATACCTTGAGTATGAAAATGCTATCTAGACCTCGGATTAGCAGGATTTCTGGGCATGATACTATACCCTAACCCTTTATGAGTGAACCCTAGGTTCTAATTATCTAAATCATAAACTATAAACTCTAAGATGGTGCATTGATTTTTTCCCTATATTTGGACGAATCATAACCGTCGACTATTGTTTCTAACTAAATTGATCTTGGGGTATAAGATTTAGTGAATTAAGACCTAGATTTTGATCTTGAAGGGTTTGAGTATAGTATCATGTCCGAAAGATCAGTCAATTCAAGTTTTGGATAGCGTTTTCTTACTTAAGGTATGCGGTACCCCGGATTTCACCCGGGGTACCGTAGAACTCGCCATATATATATAATATATAATATATAAAAAAAACTAGTCAAAATGTTGAATTAATTTGAATGATTTGCAAACTTGTCATGTAATTAATCATAACGGGTAAAGTGCAATAGATAATAGTAATGAAGATATCAACTTTTCCAACCAATAGACACTATTAGCAAACCAAACAAAACGTCACTCTAAAAACAAAGAAGAAAAACACTTTTTCTTATCTCAGCATTTTTGGCCGGCAATATAGATAAATCCAAATGAAAATTGCACGTCCTTTTTGAGCGGGAATGAAAAAGTTGGTTGCCAATGTATATCAAGCAAAAAGAAAATTGGGCGGCAATGCAACGGGAAACAAAATTGAGTAACAAAAAAAATACACGAGTTATATATATATATAATAAATTACAAGCTTAATTCTCAGTGAAGTATAAACTTTTTGTTTAACAAAAAAAATATATAAATCAAGGTTCATGAAAAAAATTTGCAAGTCGTTGTCAATCAATAATCCTAATTTATATCCATATGCAAAATCTAGACAAGACACTAATATTATAAACAACAGTTTATGAGATATGGAAATGGGGCTTAATGGCTAAATTACACGTTTCGTCACTCAAATTTTACAAATCTTTCATGTTTGCCACCCGAATTACTTTTCTTTCTTATTCGCCACTAACTTTACGAAT